GGTCTCTGTCCTGACTGTTTGTTGACATGATGACTTCTTCTGGCTACAGCTTCACTTCCTTTTTGATGTTCTTTGAAACCGTCCTCATCCTTTCAGGTCTACATCCTCCATGTCATACAAACGCTCATCCTCTATGAGACGACCCGTTCTCTTCAGCACCGTCAGAAATTGATGTTCCCTTTCAGATTTAGGAACTTTTTAAGGATTATAAGGGATTTTTGGTCGTATAAAGGAGATGATCGTGTCCTCCAGGTGAGGTCGAGGGTCAGTCGAGGTGCCTGTTGGAGCCGTGAGCTCTGATTTGGACACAGATGGAGAGCAGAGAGAGACCTCATCGACACAAAGTGCAAAACAGGTGTCAGGCTTTACCGGGGGTGGAGCCCCAACACTCTCCTCCCCTCTCCTCTTAAGCCATACTACAAACTCACTTGTCTATTTTTTTACTTCATAATTGAAATTGTCATCACCATTGTTCAGTTTATTTAAACTTTATTATTATTAAACTGAAGAACAAGCACTTTCAGACTTCCCAGTTTGTCAAAATCATCTTCAAATCCCAAAACATTTGCAGAAATAAAATATTTGTGCTACTTTTTCTTCCTCTGGCTGTCACTCAATTGGTTTTTGGGCACCAGAGCAGCCAGCGTTCATATATTATTCATGGTTCACGTTTCTGCGACGGCAGGTTTTAGCAGCAGACCTCGAGAAGTTTCCCCTGAGACATGTTGATGTCTGACTTTGGTTTTTAGGTAGAAAGTAGTGTTCATTTTACAGAAACGTGTCTATATGGGACAGGGGGGGGGGGGGGGGGGGAATTGTGTTGAAAATAAACAAATACTAAAACTGGGTTGCAACATGTCTGAGTAACTTGAAAAGGCGCTGGGTTCAGACAGCTGTAACCACCTGAGAGTGAGATGAAAACCTAAAAGGAAGGACAGATGAGATGATGAAGATGAGTGGGCCATTTATTTTAATGTTTCTATTTATAGCACAGCTCCCTCTCCTGGCAAACACATCAGCACACACGAATTACTGACAGGAAAACTGTTGAGAAGATTACAATCAGGTGGAATTGTCTGTGACTCGCTGTAGCAGCGCACTCAGGAGGTAGAACAATCGGACTGTTTGTCATACAGTTTTTTTATGGACTCAGATAAGAAAACGTTTAATTCTGACAGAAAAACACCATGCGAAGAAACTTTTTTTAGCTGCTGCAATCTCATTCTTTTGGTCACTACCTAAAGCTTGTGACCATGGGGGAGGGTTGGAACATCGAGAGCTTGGCCTTCTGGCGACAGACCGGTATGATGCCCACATCGCTGCAGACGCAGCATCAATCCACCCGTCGGTCTCCAGCTCCATTTTTCCCTCATTCATAAACAAGACCCTGAGATACTTTAACTCATCCACTTACGGCAGGACTTCCTCGCTGACCTGGAGAAGAGATTTTACCCCTTTTCCTGATTCCACGGTCTCAGATTTAGAAGGAGGTCATTCTCCTTCTGGCTGTTTCACACTCAGTTCCAAGTTTGTGGTTGTAGATCACGTTCTAATGAAGTCAATACGACCGCATCATCCGCAGAAAGCAGAGGCCTGATCATTAGGCCACCATAACAGATCCCCTCCACATCTTTGTTGTGTCTAGAAATCCTGTCCACACATCCTCCAGGACCCCCTAAGGGTATAGAGCTGTCCCACGGCCAGGATGAAATCCACATTGCTCTTTCTGAAAATGAGAATCGACCATTCCACACACCCTACACTCTAGAACCCCTGAAGAGACCTTGCCTGTCATGACTCCCAGTCTTTCGCCCTCCTCTGCCTCCTCATCAAGCCTTCAGCCTCCATGCAGCACACCTGGTCCCCTCATCAAGCTCCAGCCAAGCCCTGTTTCCCTGGCAACCACAATCAACTTCATTCATCTCACCTGTTGCTCCCTAACCAGAGCCAGATTATTGAACGCTCCTTGCTAGTAAATCTTCCAGCCTTTCACCTTCCCTGATCTCAGCCTCCGGACCTCGTTTTCACTCCTGACCCCTGCCTTGAACTCTGCCTGCCACCACGACCCTCGCCTGTCTGCTACCTCGTCTCCAGCCTGCTCCCTGTACCTGCTTGTCCCGATCTGGTTCGTGACTCACGCCTCCTCTCCGACTCTGTCTCCTGCCTCGCCCTCCTCTGGTAACTCCACATCTAATAAAGACTTATTATTTAACTCTTGCTGTGTTTGGCGTCATCACGGGTCTTCCGAGTTCTGATCGTGACTTTGCCAAGGAGACTCAGGAGTGATCCCTCTAAATATAAGGACCACCACCTGGGAGACCTGCCAGTGGATCTGAGGAGGTCTTTGAAGTCTTTCTGCCCACCGACCCACAATGTCTCAAGCAGAGGTCAGCAGCACGATTTTATTTTACTTTATTTTATATTAAAACATAAAAAACTCAGTCGTTGGAGGCTATCAAATTTGGTCCCGAGATTTAATTGAGGTGGTCCCATGAAATTGAATCTCACAGCCCCTAATCGAACGTGTTTTATGAACCTGCCCGGTTTTATACACCTGGCAGTGACAGAGCAAAGCTCAAATCACGACTTCTTGAGCTAATCATTTACTATCGACATCAAACGGCAACAGACACATGTATCCTTCCGGAGCCAAGGTGAAGAGGAGTGTTTGAACTCTCCTCTTGTGTAAACCAAACTACACCTTTTCTGTTTCCGACATGACCTAGCTGTGAAAACAGGCACCAGGAATGACTGTCTTTGTTTTCAGGTGGTGTCCCTACGGAAATAAATCACAACGGATTCATGTGAAAATGCTCCTCAGAGACTGCAATGATAGCAGTGCCAGGCCTCATTTATGGCACTCTTTGAAGATTAAACAGCTGAAAAATCCACCCACATCTTGGATTTTCTCACACACCGGGGTCAAGAGAGAGGGTTGTAAATGAAGAAGCATTATTAGGATATTATGGCACCAACACGTCTTTCCCAGATCTTTAAAATCTATTTTCATCTATTTTTACCAGAGCGTTGGTGGACTCTGGTCTGTGTTCATCGTGGCGATGAGGAGATAACATGTTTACGATTAAAACTTTATCGGGATGTGTTGTAAATGTCGCACCTGTGCAGGTTTATCATCAACAGTTTAATTCATATCAGCGTGTGTGCTCAAACTAATTCCCAAAGCACTGACAAAAACCTGATGTAGTTTCATACGGGGTTACTACTAGAATGAGGCCACAGATGGGCTGTGTCCTGATTTTGCTTCCTAAGAAGGACCCATCCTACCCAGTCGACATATGCCGGGTCCTTCGTCAACCACAAGGACACAAAGTGAGCAGCGGTGGAATTGGACAAACTAGCCTTAATATTTATTCCTGCATTCGCCTCCATGAACGTCTGTTGCCTAGCAACTGTGATGGCATCAGCTTTTGGCTTTTCCTTTTTTACTTAAATACTTTTAATCGTAATACTCTCCCACAAAATCACCCGCCATTATTACTAACAAAAATTTCCCATTCAGCCTTCAGGTCTTGTGGGATATGGTAGGTCACGAAGGCTGTTCCAGATCCTTCCTTCAAATTCAGGAAAAGATGCATTTGGACAGCCTGAATTGCATTGTGTAGACATATTTGGCCTTCAAATGCAGCTTTGGAAGGATGCACCCCTGAATGTCAACACATCTGTAATCTTGTGGTGGTACACCCCAACCAAATGCAGCAGAGGACAATTATCAGATTGTGAAGGATTTTAATGTGTTTGTCAGGGCATTGAGATCGTAGAAGTGTTTTATCTGTGAGAGACTGAGAACAGAAATGTTTCCACTCGGACCGTTTTAGATGTGACACATTCTGAGCCTCATCGCTGCTGATGGTGTGTGTTCATTATAGTGAGTAATGCTAAAGATGTGATCATTTTAGTTTTATCTCACCATTTATTACTGAAGTTGGTGAGTCAGACAGCTAACTAGCTGCTGGCTATATCAAGAGGTTAGCATTACTAGCACCTGTTAGCATAAATTATCAACATTGTGATACTAATAATAACACTTAATTTGTTGTTATTATTATATGAATAACAGCATCTACAAGTGTGTGTGGTATTTTTTGGGGGGGTTTTGGGACGGGGTGACCTTTGAACCCCACTAATCCTGATTTAGTGGCATCTCCGACAAATAGTTGTTAAATTATTCATTAGAAAATTCTGCCATAAATCTCTGCCTTAAATGGGTCAATTTTCATAAATCATAATTTTATAAATCTTTATTACCTTTACTGTAAGCTGCACCCCCACCCTAAGCGACCAGGAGAAATTAAAAGTTGCCCACCTCTGGTTACTAAGGCCTACCAGTCAGCAGGTTAATTATTAAATAAGAACGTTTGCAGATTAAAGTCTCAGACAAATACTCGGCCTCGTAAAATCACTGCTTACATAAGACTTTGAATATATGATGATTCATGTTTATGCTTTCCAAAACACGAATTAGTCGGCAGAAAACATGGGGAAAAAAACTGTTTAGTACCTCAAAAATTATGTATTTCCTAAATAAATATAGATTTTTCTATTAAAATATTTCATGTTGTTTTGAAACTAAATAGTGGAAAAAGTGAAAATGGCAGGATAGGTCATAAAATGAGTCCTGACAAAGTATAGGGGTATGTGTGCACATATATAACTATAATTAGTGCTAAAATGCAGCTTTAAGTGTGAAGCCTGTTTCAGCAGCTAACGCATTCAGAAATACTAGTCCATTAGTGTATTTAGTGTGAAGTTCGTAGTAGTTTCTGCGCATCTGTGTGCAAATAAAACTAGTAACACAGCTGAAAACACAGATTTAAAAACTCGTGATCAAACTGGAGACCTCAGCTGCCAAAAAAATAAAAACATCTATGTTATAGTTTTTTCCTAAGTTCCTAAGTTTTTTCATAAGTTCCTGAACATGACGTAGATTTCTGTGACGGTTGATAACAAATCGCAGTGGCTCCGTTTTCTGGTGATCTTACCTTAACAAAGAGAGAAACTGTGGGCTGGCCTGGATCAGCAGGTGCAGCGCTCCCCTCATCTGGACTCACGTGCTCCAGAGTCTTCAGGCTGTAGTCCATGGAGTCCTCCAGCTCCGGATGCGTGTTGGGATGGGTGTAGGACATCAGCATCCCATCCTCCACGTTATCCTCATCCTGGATCTTAGGTTGGATCAACGGTTCGATGCCTTTCTCTCCATGGGATGAAGAGGAATGTGAGGTAGATGATGAGCGCCTGGACCTGTCATTCATCTCCTGCTGCTCCTCAACTATCGGCGAAGGCGGCAGCTCCAGGGTCATCACTAACTCCTCCACAGCCATCACAGCTGCCTTGGCTTCCTCATCATCGCTGGATGATGAGGACGAAGATGAGGATGAGGAGCTGTGTTTGTCCTCATCCCTGAGCTCCATGTACTCTGGAGAGTTGCGCTCTCCCTCTGCAGAGGCGTGGACTTGAACCTCGCTGTACAGCTGCTCCTGGGCCTCACCTGAGTTCTCATACAAAGGCATTGGGTTGGAGCTGCTGGCTCCAAAACGCCGCTCGGTGGGTAACTTCTCCTGATCTAAGTTCTCATAGTTGTGTTCCATGTTTGCTGGTGGGGTGGAGGCCGACCTCGAGGTTTTAACTGGGAGGAAAGAGTCTTGGAGTGGCCGAAGTGTCTGCCTGGCTGCCTTTGGCTGAGTGAGCGCCTGGGCAAACTCCAACAACTATCATAAAAGACCTTTGAGCTTAAAAGTTAACGAGTGAACAATCTGTGAGGCCTGTCCCCTCAAGGGCATTTAGGCTGAGCAGAAACATCCGTGTTTGGGTTATGTAACACTTTCTAGGAGTAGAAAGTGAATACAAACGCAAAATAATGCATTTATTTGTATTTTAGATCCACTCAATTTAAAGTAACGCTAAATCATTTTTCACATTAAGCTATTGCTTTCAAACTGGTTCTAGTGATTCTTGAGCCATAAACTTGAGCAGTTTCACGATGGACAGCACTCTGCTGCCCTCTGCTGACCAGAAACTGCACTAAACAACTTTGGTGGTTCGAGTAGGTGCACTGGTGGGATGTTTCTATCTGTTTTATGGTTTTACTGTTTCTTTAATTCATATAAAGGCTAGCTGTTAGCTTTTTCAATTCACCATAAGTAAAAAGCCCAAGAAAAAAATTGTTGCTTTGTTGTTGGCATCATGGCGGAACCTGAGTGTAAAAGTATGAGAATAATATGAAAGGAATCATGCAAAGTCCTATTTTATTCTTTGTTTCTGAACAGCCAATAGTCAAGCATTCATAAAAAGAAGAAAAATACACCACCTGGCCTGGCAAAAAATTGTTTTAGCAGGGTTTTTAACCAGTTGTAAATCCAATTTCCACCAATAGGGGGAGAAGTGGGAAACTTACTTTGTGTTGTTTTCAAAACTAACGTCAAAAATGCAGTTAGAAACTAAACACAGCAAGAACATACCAAAGATTGTTAATAAAGTATTTTTTTAATAGCACAGCAACCAGCAATGATTTAGATAGCAATTCAATTCAATTCAAGTTTATTTATACAGCTCCAAATCACGACAAGGGTCGTCTCAAGGCACATCACATAATAAACATTCCAATTCAGGTCAGTTCATTAAGCCAATCAGAAATAATGTTTTCCTATATAAGGAACCCAGCAAATTGCATCAAGCAATAGCAGCAGGTACGATGTGGGGGACAGAGAGCTGCTCACAGTTAAGTTGGCCATTGAGGAGTGGAGACATTGGTTGGAGGGCGCTGAGCAACCCTTCATCATCTGGACCAACCACAAGAACTTGGTGTTTCTAAAAGAGGCCAAGAGACTCAGCCCTCGACAGTACAGGTGGTCTCTTCTCTTTTCATGATTTAACTTTGTGATCTCCTACCGCCCAGGTCCTAAGAACACCAAGCCCGACGCCCTCTCCAGACAGTATGCTCCTGACCAGGATGCCGAACCCTCCACTATTCTACCCCCGGCGTGCATCGTGGGAGGGGTCACCTGGGAAATAAGAGACCAAGTCATGGAGGCACTCAAGACAGACCCAGGTCCAGGTAATGGTCCTCCAGGAAGGCTTTTTGTACCACAACCCCTGAGAAGCAAGGCCATCCACTGGGCTCACACCGGCAAGTTTGCCCTTCACCCTAGAGTCGGACGCACAGTAGCCCTTGTTAAGCGAGCCTTCTGGTGGCCATCCGTGTTCAATGATGTAAAAAGCTACATATCGGGTTGCCATACCTGTGCCCAGCAAAAGGGAGACAATCGTCCACCTGCAGGTCTGTTAAATCCATTACCCATTCCGTCTCGCCTCTGGTCTCATATAGCTTTGGATTTTGTGTGTGGTTTACCTGACTCTCATGGATTCAATACAATACTCACCATAGTAGACCGTTTTTCTAAAGCCTGTCACCTTGTCCCATTAAAATCTCTTCCCTCTTCGGTAGTCACAGCTAAACTTCTAGTTAAACTTGTCTTTCGTCTTCATGGCATCCCCAATGAGATCCTATCAGATCGTGGTCCACAGTTCATCTCCAGGGTGTGGAAGGAGTTAACTGAAACTTTAGGGGCTCGGGTCGCTCTCACCTCCGGATTCCATCCTCAAACCAACGGCCAGTGTGAGTGCTTGAAACCAAGAACTAGGAGCCATGCTGCGTTGTGTTTGTTCTGCACACCCTTCCACCTGGGGCTCTCACCTTGCCTGGGTGGAATACGCCCATAACAGTCACATCTCCACAGCCACAGGTCAGTCCCCTTTCGAGTCCTCCATCAGTTATCAACCCTCACTTTTCCCTCTGCAGTCACCAGTCACCTCCACCGTCCCGCAATTCCTCCGTGGTGCCAGGCGCGCTTGGTCCACTACCAGGGCAGCACTGGACCGTACCGCTCGGAGGAACCAACTGTTGGCCGATCGCCAGCGGCGACCGGCTCCAGTGTACTCTCTTGGACAGGGGGTCTGGTTGTCCTCCAAGGACATTCCTCTGAAGGCTACAACCCAGAAACTGACACCACGATTCATCGGTCCATTCAAAATCAAAGCGGTCCCCACTCCCTCCTCTGTCTGTCTGGATCTTCCTCGCTCCCTTCGTGTCCACCCTGTTTTTCATGTGTCCCTTGTCAAACCTTTGGTTTCCAGTCCCCTTTGTCCCACACCTGCGCCTCCTCCACCAGCTCGCCTATACAACAGAGGTCTCGTCTACACGGTTAGCAGGATCTTGGACTCGTGTCCCTGTGGTAGAGGAGTCCAGTACCTCGTTGACTGGGAGGGTCATGGTCCAGAAGAGAGGTCCTGGGTTCCTCACTCCTTCATTGAGGATCCGTCCCTGATCCGGGACGTTGAGGCTGCTTCGGCTAGGATGCCAGGGGGCGTCCGTTGGGGGGGGGGGGGGGGGGGGGGGGAGTTTACTGTCATGAGCTGGGGTGAGTACTCCTCTCACCAAACTATCTTTTGGAGTGTTTGCAGGAGAGGGAGCTACAGCTGCACCTGGTCAGCAATCAGCAGGTCTACCATTTAAGATGGATGGAGGACACTGCTCCATGCCGGATGATTGCTACTGTTTGGTAGTTTCCAGCCCTCGTCTCGACATCAGGTTTTTTTGATACTTGTACTCTGGGATTCGTGTGATTTTGTGAGTTTTGCTCACCCACCTCAGGTCTCGACACCAGGATTTTCTCACCACCACTCCAGAGGACTCCGGATTCGCTCTGCCACGTTCATCCATCCGTCCTGACCGACCCGCTCTCTCTCCCTACGCTCCCTCTCCAGCTCTGGACCCCCCTTGGATACACCCCAGCTCATTACCTTCCCCTCTGCCCTATTCCCAGACAACCCAGTAAGTCTTTACTCTGCACCATCCAGTATTGACTTACTCCTCAGGCCTCAACTCATTCTGCTTTCCCCTCCAGACGCTGCATTCCCGTTTCCCTGTCCGCTGGAATTCCCAGTACGTTTTTAGTTGTCGTTCTAAAAATAAAATCTATGTTTTCTCCTAATTCTGTGTCTTGGGTTGATTATGCATTTCTTGGGTTAGACATCTCCCCCTGAAACATGTTGCATGTGTTGCAGTCGATGATGCAATGCTCCCTGTCCCAATTCTGCAATTATTTGAGGTGCAGTGCGATAATTAGTATTGGGCCTTAGACCCACTCCCATTTATTTTAGACCCAATTTTCTTTTATTTGTTACAAAGCAGCCAATATTTTCCAACAACGTGGCGTCATTTAATTCATTTTCAACTACATTTTGATGGATATTTCCAGAGATTAACAGTAAAAACTACACATCGTCTCTTTGAAGATGTATTAGATTAAAATATATATAGTATAAATAATGCTCCCTTGACGTTACCTTGCTTACATTCTTCGATACAAAAACAGAAGAAAAAAAATCACCCACAAAGCATTCTGGGTTTTACAGTTTCCTTTATTTCCAGAAGACTCTTTAAACTGCTTCAACATGGCAAAGATTTGTCACTCTTATTAAATATCCACATTTCTGTCATTAAAAACTCATTCATTCATTTTAAGAATTACAAATGAATTTGGAAATATAGTGAGAATATATTTAAATTTTATACCAACACCCCAGGGAAAAATCAGACAACACTTTTTCTTTAATAAAGCATGAAAATAATCAGTTATTAATTCATATAAATGCTTTCAATATATGAATTTTAATTTAGTAAAAAAGTATACATAATCACAGTGATGTCTGTTTTGTTTTGGGACACAGGTTTCAGTCAAAAGGAGGCTAAATTAAACAAATTTTACTTGATAAGTTGCTGTAAAAATAGAAGCATCATTGATTTGGATCCTAGGTCTTCTATTCTTTCCTACAATTACGCTGATTTAAAAGCTTTTAAGAGAAGCCTTTCTCATTAAGCAGCAACTACTACCTGTGCAAATCAAACGCTACATGTCCTACAAAAGCACCCAGCAGCTGCCTTTTAGTCGCCTTCGTTTCAATCCTTTAGTGCAAATTAGGGGGTCGTTTCTCGCACGCCATGCTGAAAATAATCCTGTCAAAGAAATGACGACAAAAGCTTAAAACCTCTAAGACAAAACACTGACGAATAGCAATTGCACTTCACATTTCACCAACAATGAGGCAATGGTTATGAAACAAAACTATGGTACACGCTTGCAGACGTGCTCTCTGTTTAAAGGCAAATGGTTGTGATCGGCTCACAGAACAAACGACACTCATGAGAAGAAGCTCGACCAACACACACACGGTAGAGCGTCTGTTTCTATGTAACATTCAGAATGAACAGTGACGACGACACGTCCCCTGAAACTTCAGTGGATCCTTCAATACTTTCACTTGATCACAGTTATTTTTTTAAGAAGTAACGCCATAGTTTGGTGCACAAAGCACAAGCAGAACAAGAGGGTGGGGAATTCTACCTACAACTCAGACCTTCTTTAATTTATGACATACAAATCTGTTTTGCATTGATTTAAAAATGTCAAATAAATCAAAAGAGGCTTCTGTTGACGACCGAGGATTTTCAACAAGGTGCAGAGGAGTTGGTACGTCTCAGACTAATGTGTTTGCCGGATGGTTGCATAATAATATTTCCAGTTTTTGATTGCACCTGCTGCATACGAACAAGTGACGCTCTGTAGGATTGTCTGAAGGTGTTAGCTAGACTTAGTGCTTAAAGCTATCTCCAGAAATTTCCATCATGAATATTTTGGGGAATTTAGAGCAGAGGTGTCGACCTCCATTCCTCAAAGGAAAATATGTTTTAGTTGTTTCTGACCCGATAAATATAACTCAGTAATGAAACCGGAATTTATTTTTTTTAATCCAGTGGTTCCCAAAGTTAGGGTCAGGACCCCACTGTGGGTCACAAAAAACTACAAAGGGGGTCCTGAGATGATTTCCAGAAATCAAGATAAAACTGATTAAAAATAATTGCGCATAATTTTTGCAAAAACTCAACTAAATTGTCATAAATGAGCTGAAGCCATTTTTAATGTCCTGAACTATTAGCTTTTCAGCATGTTTGTATTGTTTTATTGGAGATACCTGGGGTCACGGATCTTCACAATTGCTAAGCTGAAACATTTGGGAACGTAATCCTTGTCAAATTTAAAATCAGACCTTAAAAAGACTTCTTGGACAATCTGAGTGAGCCTTTTTTATCCGTAAGCTGGAAGTAATTTTCACTTTAGAAGTGGGGGGTACATGTATGTTCTAATGGGAAACAGGCTTCAACACAAATGGTTGTTTTCCGCTTGGTCCTAGAGCTCAACCAGTGTCAATTTAATATAGCGTAATATTGTTTTTGGATAGTAAAAAGTGCAGGGGTCAAAACTTGACTTTGGAAAAAGTGGGTGGGGGGACATGTCCCCCCTGTCCCCCCCCCCCCCAAAAAAAAATTACGTCCATGCGTAAGCATCCAGAGTTTGGACTGCAGGATGACCTCCATAGTCAGACTTACACTAGAGTAAGTTCCAAGCAAACCTTTGAAGATGCTAGGGGAGTGTGGACTGCCTTTAAGAGAAGTTACAAACTCATTTTGGCAAACAAATTTTGTTTGAGCATACTGATACCTCAGAAGTTCACACTTGCCAGGACCACCAGGCTAAACTTTTCTCCTAAATGATCTCTACTCATGATGTGGAATACTGAGATGGTTTAGGCAGAGATCACAATCAAAGCAAGGTGTATTACTTTCATTAAACCAGGACCAGAAGCAAACTGTTTTAACGTTTCCTTTGCACCTGAAGTAATACAACATATGACTAGGATGTTAGATTAAATTCCGTTGAGCTCCAATCAGTTAACAGGAGCATAATTGCATTTTGGTGTAAAGGAGACGTTTAGGGGATGATTCTGGGTAGAGCGAAGTACCTTGGGGGAGAATAATCTCTTCTGTTTTCCTGTTCCTACAGGTGCAGATCTTCTTGCAGTAAGGGCCGGGACATCTCCCAGCTCCTGTATTTTAATACAGGCCTCTGTTTGAAAGTCACCAGTATGACATAGAACACTAGGAACCCCAGCACCATCACCACACCGATGAACGAGCCCACAACCGGGGCGTAGGAGTACCTGTTGGCTTTAGGAGGTGTGGGTGGGTGAGCAGGAGTTGGCGTGGAAAAAGCTGGCAAGGAGGAGAGGAGGTCCTGGACGTTCAGGAGGGAGCCGTTGTTTGGTAGGGGCTGGATGGACAGGATGTGGCACATGAGAGGGTAAAGGTCAACAGAGCGCATGGAGGTCTTCACGTAATTCTGGCGAAAGGCCGGCCCACGAGCCACAAACACAGGCTGCATGCTGCGTAAAGTGTTGTCGTAGCCGTGGTTTCCCACTACGGAGAAATAAAACATTCTTATTCGTTCGCTCATTATTAATAATGCTGGGTTATTTTTAGATCTCTACCTGTTGATTGAAGAGCAGCTAAATACAGATTTATAACAAAAGCAGAAAAAAACCATCCTTCACTTAGATCTGCAGATTAGCAGCCAGACACTCTGATTTACTAGTGCACACCAGTGTAACGGAACGGAAGACTGTGTTTTTTCCCTTCTTTGCTCAAGACTAGTCTGCATGAGATAAGTCTCAAGGTCTCATGCATTCCTTCTAACCTGCTTATTTTCAGCTCAACAAAAGAATGAAGAATGAACTCTTTTCTTTTAATTAATCAATGAACTCTATTTTAATAAAGCTAATCCATCAAAGTGTTAGTCAATAAATAAGATGTGACCGATCTGTGAAATCAAAATATTAATTACTTTATTATGATCCTATAGAATATAATAAGTAATATGACTTTAAGTGTTCCAACAGGACTCATTTCACGTAGTGTTAAAAAGACATAACACATTCCTTTCACTGATCCAATCAGAATCTGACAGATCTGACGGAGGCGTGGTTTTGATGGTGTTTGGTCATTTTTCATTCGACAATAAACCATAACATCCAAAGTATAAAACTATGCCACGCCAGCTCTTAACGCCAGTTCAAAGCGTTCCAGAGAAAGTAACGGAGTGGCCAATCCTGATCTCAACTCTTTAACCGAAAGAACAATGACAGGCTGAAAAATCCAGTCGCTATACCAACCAGCGGCAACAGTTCCTTTCAGAACAAAAGCTCATCCATCCACCGACCCAGGCTTGGGTCTAACCAGACGCCAATAACTTGTCATGAACCCGGAAGTAACTCAAAGACTGTTTTGATCGGAACCGCGGCTTTTCCTACCGGCTCGGTTCCAGAAAGGGTCCACTGGACCTCGATATTCCTGATCTACAGAGTACTTCCCGAAGGGTAGGTAGACCGGCATGATGGTGTCTCATGTGTTTCTGAACTTCCGAACCAAAGCTTAATGCGAAACAACATCTTCAGTTCCCGTCAGAACAAACGCTTCTTCGGATTTGTTGGTTCTGATTTGACATCACACGTCATCCATTCACTGTCTCATCCATTTTAGTTACACCATGCATTTAGTTTTAAAGTCAGTCAAGTTTAATTTGTTATTAATAAAATTCTTAACTTTTAAACTTGACTCTCTCTCTTCTGTTGTCTCTGGGTAAAGACGTAGCGGTTATCTAATCCCTGCATTAAAAAGATCCAATCTTCTGGTTTAAATGATCCACCGATCCGTAAGGTAGATTTCATATTTCTTATGGAATCCCACGCCTTATGGCTCATTAAATAACTGTAATCTATTTCATTACACCATTGTGCACATGTAAAACAGTTTTTAGTCAGTAAACTTTTGAGTTATTTTCAGAGGCCATACATTCACTCTGAATGAGTCCTGACCCAAGTAGCTGTTACCTGGACTCTTCCATGACCACTTCGCCCTAATTCTCCTACCTTAAATCACCCTGACTGCTGTCTGCTGCAGCTAAAACGCTAATCAGCTCATAAATATCCACCAGCCTCACGACTAGGACTCAGCAGCTCTTCCTTCCAGCTGCAGGCTCCTTGTGCTCAATTTACTAATTAACAAGCTTCCAGCCATGGCAGAAAGAAGAAATTAAATGAGCCAATCCCTCTACTACCCAATCTCAGTCTGACACCTCTAATCTGAGAACCAGCTCCAACATGTTTGAAATTATATTTCAAGGCAGTAAAATAAAAAAACCACTACACACACCCAGGAGAAGCTATTCTGCCTTCTCTCATAGTTCATTAAACTTGGTGTAACATATGCTTAAGTTGGCTCAGGGATTAAAATAAGTCACCTGTGAAGCTATTAAAATGGGCCATTCCCATCTGTACCGGGTCGGCCCGGGCCGGGTAGCCCCAGTCGGCCCCAGCCTGGCCCGGCTGATTCCACACATCCTTGTCTTAAGCCCATGTGGGCTGATTCTACCCACCAATCAGAGGCTTGCTCTAGTGGAAGGTGTGAGTTTGCTGTCAGCAGTGGGTGTGTTGGCCCTGGTCAGCCTGGAGCAGACCCCTTCGAGAAGAGGGCTGAGAATGAGCCTTGGTTGGCCCGGAAAAATACCAGGCCACCCAGATATGTAAACAACCTACGCTACCCGGCCCGGGCCGACCCGGTACAGATGGGAATGGCCCATTAGAGCCCTTTTGTGGGCAGCTTTACAACCTGCAGCGCGACAAACTAGTGATGGCGTCTGCAAACGTACACATAAAAGATCCGCTCCTGTTCTGCATGATGGTCCAGCCCTCTTTAGCTTCCAAGAGGATGGGCATGATCCTGGTGTTGTGCTGATAATGAAGTCGCTCTGGGATGTGTTCCTTCTTGTATGCCACCATGTTCGGGTTTGCGTCCAGGAGTGAGGCGTACACCTCGTCGAGCTTCCCTGTCAGAAAGAAACCAAAAACAATATTCTGGCGGTGTTTAATCCTGGTCTTGGAGGGCCACTTACCTGCATGTTTTCTATGTCCCAGCACCAACCCACTTGGACTTAATCAATGGGAGATTGGCTTCTGAAGAACTAGTGGATATGCTGAGGAAGTGATTCAGTCATTGAATCAGGTGTGCTGGAGCAGGGAACTGCTGAAATATGCACTCAACCCTCTCTCTCCAGTCTGCTGCTTTCGTTATTGAATCGAGTCTGAACAAGGTTCTGTATGTCTGTAAAAATCTAGATTAGCTATTAACTGGAACCTAACTGGGTTGCAGTCAATGGAATCCAATAAATGATCATTAATTAAACAAGTGGACGGGCTTTCGCCCAAGGAGGACAGCCTGAAGAGGAAACGTGGGCTCACCCCTTGTGGGAGGGTCCAAAGGGGTCAGTGCAATGTGTGATGGGTGGTGGCCGACCTTGGCGGTCTGATCTTTGGCTACAGAAGCTGGCTCTAGTCTGACTCACTTCGACGCATGGCTCTGGCTCCAGAACCAGTTTCCTTGAGAGGGACTGGACACTCTACCACTCTGGAGTTGCTCCCACTGAGAGGCACCGAGCAGGGGTGGGCATACTAGCACCCCATCTTGGTGCCTGTGCATTAGGGTTTACCCCGGTGAACGACAGAGTAGCCTCCCTCTGCCTACATATGGGGGGACAGGTCCTGACTGTTGTCTGCACTTATGCACCAAACTACAGTTCACACTACCCACCCTTTTTGGAGTCCTTGGAGATGATACTAGAGAGTGCTCCTTCCGATGACTCCCTCGTTCTGCTGGGGGACTTTAACGCTCTCGTGGGCATCAAAAGAGAGACCTGGAGAGGTGTGGTGGGGAGGAACGCCCCCTGATCTGAATTCGAGTGGTATTTTGTTATTGGACTTCTGTGTTCGCCATGGATTGTCCATAATGAACAACATGTTCAGACATAAAGATGTCCATATGTGCTCCTGGCACCAGGATACCTTAAGCCGCAGCTCGATGATCGACTTTGTTGTCATCTCATCTGATCTGTGGTCTCATGTCTTTAACACTCGGGTAAAGAGAGGGGCGGAGCTGTCAACTGACCACTACCTGGTGGTGAGTTGGCTTCGATGGTGGGGGAGGATGCTGGTCAGACCAGGCAGGCCCAAGTGTATTGTTAGGGTCTGCTGGGAACGTCTGGCGAAGTCTCCTGTCAGAAGAAATTTCAATTCCCACCTCCGACAGAAATGTTCTGAGGGAGGCAGGGAACATTGAGTCCAAGTGGGCCATGTTCCATGCTTCCATTGTCAAGGCGGCCGACTGGAGCTGCGGCCACAGGGTTGTGGATGCCTGTCATGGTGGCAATCCCTGAATCTGCTGGTGGAGCTGAAGAAAGAGTCCTATCAGGCCCTGCTCCTCACAGCAGTGAGAAAAAAATAGAGAGCTGCCGCAACTTCAGTCAGAGGTAATAATGAATGATAATGGGAAGCCCTAGCTCATTGATTCTATCTGCCAATCGAAGGCTCCCCATAATGGTAGGCATGTATTTGAGCCAGCCAATCAGCCGTAGTGGGTGCGCTGGCCTATGCCAGCCCTGAGCTG